TTTATGCATGTCAATAGGTACTTCATATTGTCATATGATTCTTTCATGTGAACGGCATAACCTACAGGAAGAGATGGTAAAATATTTCCAATATGCAATAACACTGCCTTTAAACTCAAAGTTGAACTGTCTATAAACAATCTCCATTCTTCTGGGTTATAGTTTATATTTAAAGCCGCCAGTAAGCCGTTAATGTTACTGCAGAAAACCAAGTTATTCTCCATATTGAAAAATGGTTCTAAGTCTTTGTGGCGTTTACGAAAAACACATACCGAAACATCGTCTTCTAACAAGTTCCACTGCTGCAGTCTTGATCCAAGTAACTCTGCCTTAGATTTTGGAAGTTCTAAATCTCTTACAAGATCATTTTATTCTGACTGTGTTATTTTGTGCGGTTGGTGGCATGACGTGCTCGGTATGAAATCAGGATCTCTTGACGTTGATGGCATATCTTCTTCCTGACGAATCACTCGATCGCCATGATCTGATTCGTTTTCTGATTCGCAAGTGTAGGATTCTGGGGGTTTTGGAATAGGATTTTTGGCACTGTGAGGCACAGGTCTCATCGCAGATGGTATGTTTGGGTAGTTAATAACCGATTTTTTTTTCTTGGACATACCTGTGGCTGGTCCAACACAAGGTACCATGTAAAAGTAACAATCATTAATATGATTTGTAGGCTCTCTCCCAACCATTGGGACAGCAAAGCGCATAGACCGTTTTTTGCCATTTAACCAGCTCCTCAGACTTGAAGCACATGTATTACAGCAGATGTGGGGTGCCCACTGTTTGTCTTGATCACCTAGTTTACAACCGAAATAAAGCTGATATGCCTTTGTTATTAGTGGAGTAATAGACCGTCTCTGAGACGCAACAGTCACATCACCACACACGTAAGAAAACTGATCTGGACTGTTTACACACTTTCGAGACTTCTTGCATGAACGCTGTCAGCCAACTGAGGAAAAAATGGCTAATATAAAACAATATAATGTACACGTATGTATAACGTAACACAATCATGCCGATTACATCATCTTTCCTTGTTCTAATATAAAAATGTAGCACGTGCATTCTTGTGAATTACAGCATATTAACACTGTCACAGCAGGAACACATATAATTACCGTATCTCTAAAACTTGAACTAATATTGAAAAAATAAGTTTCATTCCGGTTTTAGCACATTAAAAATAGTAATGTTTTGTTGATTTTATTTAGGATATTTTTTGGCTGTTGATCAGTGATTTATGGGTAAATAATATTTTTTTACATTTTCGATTTGGGCATTACAAGTAATTAAGATGATCGTTTAGATTGTGTTTTTAAACACAGCAACAATTCCTAACTCCAAATAAACACAAAAAAACAGAATATTAATTTGTTTAATTTTCCAATATTATTTTAACAAATTAAATTAACTATATACAACTAAAATGCTATTGGATAGTTAGGACGAACATACAAAGTCTAAAGTAGTTGCTCGAAATGTTCAATACACAATTCACATCTACGAATGATCGAACGTGGTATAGCATTATTCAAATAAGGCCTTATTGCATCACATGCATCCCTGATTCTGTCTATTAGCATATCTCTTGTGGTTACGGGAGTCTGGTACACTTTTTTCTTTTAGAAATCCTCACACAAAGAAATCTAATGGATTTAGGTCAGGGGATCGTGGAGGCCAGGCGACTGGTCCTCCATGGCCGATCCATCTTTCTGGATAATTTTCGTCCAGCCAGTCTCTAACTATTCTCGAATAATGAGCTGGACAACCATCAAGCTGGAACCAGGCCAATCTTCTTAAATCTAACATAACATCATCCCACATATTTGCATTTTCAGCCTTTAAAAATTCCAAGAAGGTCGCAGCATTTAACCTTGCAGGCAAAAGGTAGGGTCCAAATAGTCGATTACGGTAGATACCAATCCACACGTTCACACTAAATTCATGCTGAAAATTTCTCTCCCGAACTGCATGCGGATTTTCATGCGACCAAATATGTTGATTATGAAAATTTACCACTCCACGTCTAGTGAAGCATGACTCATCGGTCCATAAAACGTTACTTAAAAACTCCCTATTATTATCAGTTCTATCAAGAATCAAATGACAAAATGTGATTCTTCGTTCTCCGTCCACTGGCTGTCCTTGCACAGGCTGCAAATAGTAAGGTCGTCTATGGTATTTCTAAGAACACGGTGAACATGGCTTGCTGAAATTCCCAAGGCACCAGAAACTCTCCTAACACTTGTGGTCGGATCTCTATCAAACTCACGCAGAATCATACGGGTAAATCTGCGCTGACGAACATTTATGTTTTGATCCCTTTGGAGATTTCCAAAACCATTTTCAATTATTTGGCGCTGCACTCTTACAAATACTGAGCGAGTTGGATGTCGTCTGGTTGGAAATCTTCGTGCGTATTCTCTGGCTGCTTCTGCTGCGTTTCCATTTACAAAGCCATACACAAAATGAATATCCACTAACTCTTGATTGGAGAATAAAAATGGCTTTTTTATAAAACTTACAAAAAAACAGGTAAAAGAAACTAACTTTTGTGCATTCACGATTGCAAAAAAACGTTTCAGGTTTCAACAGTCAACAAAACTAACTGTCGACTAATTGACGTTTAACCTTATTCTGCTTTCAGTTTCAAAAATATTTGCAGCCACAGCCTACTTCTAAAAATCATCGACATACTGCCTTTTTAACGTTATTTTATCATAAATAATTAAAAATGCATCGAACCTTAAAAATCGAAATATCTCAAAAACGGCTAGCTATAACGAAAATTCACAAGAGAGCTTTTTTATGTTGAAAAATGAGAAGAATTAGTTTTTTTATTCAAAAAGCAAAAAATTGCACTGAGAAAATTTTGTCTGTCATTTTAATACACTACAGGTACAGTAGAGAGCGCCCTCTAGCGGCTACAGTAAAACTATATCCATGGTTCGTTTTGCCGTACCAAAAAACCATTGTATACCCATTTTCACTGTTATAAATCAAATATTGTTCGAAATATTTAAAAAAAAACTATTTTAGAAAGTAAATTTAAACACCCTGTATTTCGGAAGCCACGCATTTTTCGACCCATGTTTATATAGACCTTATGCATTAATTTTAAAAGTTCTATCGAATCTTAAAGTTATGCAACAATAAACTTAAACACCCTGCATAGCGTGATTATTTCTATATAGGGCCTTTTAAATTCGACCCTCATCATTGAGATCTCAGAAACTGTAAGAGACACGAAGTGGCTTAAATGGGGAGAAAGGAATCAACAAAAGTCCGCTTAGAAAGTTTCGAAATTTAAAGTGCTTCCGGAAAGACAGGTAAAAAACCGTTTTTTCCCAAAATCGTTTCAGTTTTTTACTGAATTTATTTGGAGTGGGATATCAGAATCAATTGCACATTAACTTTGCCACCTTATGTCCGCTACAAGGTGGCATAATTAGAATTCGAATATGACTCCAACTAACAATTATCACTCCTATTGTTGCAAGAATGATTATACAGTATTCCTTACACAGCATTGTATACTGTAAGAACATTGGCAAAACCCTCTTAGAACAGCTATACAAGCGGAATGGGCACACCTAATAGGACACTTCAGTCATTTGAGAGGTTGTATAAGGGCTGCAGGTAACAGTTATACAACAAAAGTGTAAGCCTCTTGCAGCCGCTATAGAACATTTTCGTCAGTGCAAGATTCAGTTTTTGTCAACTATACAACTATTCTGTTACGTGATTATACTTTATTGCAACCAAACTATTTCTCATGTATTGTATAGACGAAGTGAAGAATATATAACTAACACAGTACAGTCATCTTGTTTACTTACATATCGGCCATTGTGAATTTTATACACAGGTATATGATAAACTTCTACACTATCATAAAGGGCTATTGAATAACTTGCGCAGCAAATTTTATTGTGATTATCGTGCAAAGTAGTTACGCAAATTCTACGGGCTTCGTATTTGATTCATATTTTGATAATGATCAAAAGTATGTCTAGAGTTTTAAGATGGAAAACTGAACTTATGTGCGTTAAATCTTTCACAAATCCTATATTTAGATACAATTACACTAATGTTTATCACTTTGTATCTGTAATTTCGAACTGAAACATAATTATTTAATATCAAATAGAGGAATAAATGTTTGCCCAATATGGCGGGTGGTTGTGTATAATCATGGCACCATCCATGTTGTCTTTAGGTTATTAGAATATTTTGGTGTTGCCTGCAGGGGTTACACAACAATTTGACAAATGTCAGAAATGAGATACCGACAGAGTCGAATGATTTAGCTAGAATTTGTGCCAGATCTATATCTTTTGTTTGAACAGTTGATAAAACCTTTTTAACCAATATGCATGCATTGTTTGTCTTAAAACATTGGTTATGGCATTTCAACAAAAATAATATTATATGTAATTTTTTAATATTCTATAAGCTGGTGATGTTTCAATGACAACGTGTCATCTCATACGTTGACAGTATTTTGTTTTCAACATTTCATAGCTATTGGTTGCTAAAATTTGTTAATTGGAACATGAATCTCATTCGCTGTATTTGACAGACTGTTACCCTATAGGCGGAGAATAACGGACTGTTGATTTGACAATCCTGGTGAAATCCACCCGTACACTAGTAAAAGTCATGGTTATATCTTTAGTGTTTACAAGGTTATGTTGCTTCCAGCTGCTGTTTACAAATGGTATGACGTCAGAACACATTAATATATGGGCCACACATGGCGGGCTAAGCATATTTTTAAAAGACGGTTTACGGCATTTTAAGTCACAAAAAAGTATACTATTATTTTTGGTCTAACAGGAAAAATATTAGTAGGTAAACCAAACTGTTATTTGTCCGGCGTGCTTTGTTGACCATTTGAATTTGGAAAGGTTATGTGAATATGACACCGTCCTCGCAGTAAAAACTAAGAGTGATAAAAGGGATAAACGATCTTCGAAACCAAAATGGACTGCCACATACAAAATCCCTCGAGTCATTTCGTACTTCGCCGTCTCACGAATGCCATCATAGACGCACTATTATATACATCGCTATCTGAAAAGGAAAAATCCGTATTACTCCCCATAGGTCGAGCGGATCTTGGATTTTATTAAAGTTTAGAAACGATTTTACAGCGGTCGCTAAGCTCTTTTAGCATTGCGGCTTTGGTCAAGAGTCCATAGCTCTTCGGACGCAGTAATGGGAATTATCGGGACACTTGTAAAAATACGGAACCGTATATATCCGGGTCCCGGGCCGATTTAAGCCCGTTGAGAGTTATACTCTACTTGCTCGACTGATTTACAGCTACGAGTAAAACTTCTGTAAGGGAATTCTCCAGGCAAACAGAAAAGTTGGTGAGTGGAGGGATGCTGTGCTGAGTACGAATAAGTAAAGTGAACGTAGAAGCGAGGTGTTGTCTTCGTCAAATACTTCTTCTGACTAGGGTATCACGGTTGTTTACTAGAACTATGTACTCATTAGACATACAAGCATAGGAGGAAGACACGTACCGCGTGTTCTGTACCTACTTAAATGGCAAGTAGAATGGACCGATACCTTTTCATATCTGGAAATGAAAAAGGCCTGCATTCGTTATTACGGTTATACACCAAGCCTTTAATCTCACACAAATTAGGCGCTATTCAGTCGACTTTTTGAAGTGTTGCACGACAACTAAGGTAACTATGTATCTGTTAGATGTCGGGCTTGAAATATAGAGAGCCCTGCAAGGCTGAATTCGGCAAATACGTGTTACTGACTGTACCATGAACATATTGTGAGTTGCTTGTTGTATGTAAAAGGCAATTGTGGCTGACAGTGATTTTCGCTGTTATGAAAGTCGCAATAGAGGTAATATTTGCCCTCATAGTCATCGTCAGTATTGATGCTTTCCACAGGAAACTCAAAGATTATCTAACAAAAAAATCATTCTTCTATATTAACGATTATTTTACAAATAACTTCAGCGATATGCTTTTCTAAATATTCGTGTAATTTTTTATTTTAGTCGTGCCACGCCTTTTTTTAAATATGAGGAAATGGTGGTGTGATTCCTCTTTCCTTTTTCTTTGTTTAAATATATTAATAAATTAGTAAATTACTATAAAAGAAATCTATGGGTCAATCAAAGCAAAACAGCTGTCAAGTGGTGTGCAAGTTTAGGTCCTAGCTCAATAAAGCGGAGAGTAGGGGGGGGGGTGTTAAGAGCGCCAGTGACTCAAGAAGGACTAAGCCACAAATCCCCGAGTTTTTAGTCGGAACTTGGTTTGCTCTACCACCACACAAAGGAAAAAAGTCTCATAGTAATGATGAAACCTAATTAATCGTATACAGAGAGCCAAATAAACCAAGATACCTAAAACAAAAAGAATCACAATATATTGCCAATACAAGCAGCACATATGCTCCACCACTGGACTGCAAGTTAAAAGAAAAGATATTATTAAAAACTATCTGAGAATAAAATTAGTAGACCGTAATGGCTAAGCCTACAAAACGTTTGCCATGGTACACGTACGAAGGCTTTACAAATATACTCGTAGGCCTTACAAATATTTCAACGCCTAAACCTACACTTATCTGGACAATAGTCTTCTTCAAGTTTCAGCTCTAGGCGTAGCTGTGATGTTCTCAGCTCTCAAAAACTCAGGTCAAAAATCAGTGGCCAGTAGTGAGCAGCGACGGAAGGAACGTCACAAGGAGAGGCTGCTTGCCTCGTTCTCAAAATGTATGGTATAAAATAACCCTACAGAGAGAAAAAGACTAAGAATTTACACTCTACCCTATGTCTGAGACAGAACTACCCATTTAAAAGACTCAAAACTTGAAGAAAAATCCATGTACATCCTCTGTTACAAGAAAACTACTTTTCTTTCTGCAAGGGCAAGAAAAGATAAAAGTATACCAAAGCGATATATCCTCAGAAAGTTATCACTTGTTCTAAAATAAGTTATGGCAGCTCAAAATTCAAAATCATGATTAATATAATGTAATACGGCCAAAAGACAGTGGCATGTAGGCACTACCCTATATTTGAATTCGTAAAATGCCAAACAAAATCAAGAACACACTAAGAATTCCATTCAGCAACAATCAATATATCAATATCTATGAAATACCCAATTAAAATGATATTTTACCTGTTCACAGCAGGGTTTTTTTAAAGGGGAAGAGATGGCTTCCAAGAAAATCGGCTGCGAAACAGCTACAAGGCAGCTACAAAACAAAGCTGGACGAGTGTGAATGGTGGTCCTCCACAATGGCTTTCCACTAAAAGGAATCCAGTTATTGAACAAAATTCTTCAGGACAAGCATTAATGGACATAGTCCGATGGTATACAAAAAGAGAACTTACCGGTGGAGGTTAAAATCCCATAACAAAATGGACGGGTGGTAGTACCCAAATCCACACAACTAAACTTAAGGTACAAAACAAAAGGGTACTACTCCATAAATCTGGAAGTTACCGAAAAAAAAAACGCCCGCACACAACCAAAATCACAGCGGAAAGTAAAAATGGTGCTAAACCGCCTGCGCACGCAACCCCCTAAAAGAAGGTCGAATACGTAGCCCTGAAGAAGTCGCGTTCGACAGAGCATCAAAAGGAACAGATAAAAGCCGGTAAAGAAGGTATCTTTGAAAGGAAGGTAAGCATTCGTATATGACTAGTACGTGTAAACATCACAGGATGGCGTGCTGGTTGCATATACGCAGATTGTAGGCAGAAACAAATCTGACTACGAGGGACCAACGATATTTAGAGAAAATTTCTCAGATAGCCGTTAATAATACTATAACATAAATGTCCAAAAGATTTCAATACAATATTGAGTCGCTGAGAATGTCGGATATACTACGTGAGAAATTCTGCAATCAATAAACTATGAAATTTGACAAAAGAAAATCATTAAAAAGGGTTTGGTCTAGGAATGGGCACTCTACTATTGATAAACAGAAATTCAAATTACTCATAAGTGATCAAAACAGTAAAAAGAAAGGTACGTGATTTTAGCACTTGACAGTCGATCCCGAATTTCCGAATGTGTTAATGTTCATATTTAATTTACTCTGTCTCATTTTTTCGCTAGTGTTTTTATTTATCATACGAGTACCCTCTCGTATTTGCGGCTCTGTCAGTGTCCTTATATGTTCTACAGCGTTTCGCTTTTGCGCCTTGTTTGTAAGTCTGTATGTGTTATAGTTTATTACTCTTGAATTTCAGTTTTCTAAATGCCCCCCAAGGCAGACATGTATTTTCAACATGTACTCCTTTAACGTATGTAAATGTATTTGAGTAGTAAGGTAACTATGCCCTATTCGTAGTCCATTTACTCCCACGCACAACAAAGATGCAGCGCGGCAAAGCTGCAGCCGCCTAAGCGTTGCAATAGATGTTGGTCATTCGGCCATAGAACTACTAAGAAGTGCAGGATTTGACAGGATAGAACTCAGGTTCGGAGTATTGCCGGCATGCCCACGCCGGCAGTTGCTGTTCATATTCGGTACATACGTGTGCTTATCCGTTAGCATGTCGTTTACGGATACATCAGATGCAGCTGAGAACATTTCCCCCAATGCTTCCTTCAGCCATGCTTGCCCTACAGTGACGTCTCTTCCCCGAAAACGTGACGAGAAAGGACATTTGAATATTCAGGCAAAATAAATCGTCCTTAACGTTTATAAGAGCGAAATTTTAGAGCATCCTGAAATGAAAATTCATGATATTGATAGACGTGAACAAAACAGGCCTATGTCCTAAGACAACTTTCAACATTGTTAAATAATATAAAAAAAAACAAAAATTGTCTGCACCACACAAGAGGCTGTATCAGACGAAGCAGTCGATATACAGGAGGTTAATAGTGATGAAGACTTACCTACTTTCAAGAAGACCACATTCTACAGTTTACTCAAACAACTTCATTTTGAGTATAAGAAACGGGGCAGAAATGGGACTTTGATGGACAGTCAAGAGATTATTTTATTGAGATGAAATTATTTAAAATCAATCAAGAAATAGCGCGACCAGGGCAGGAAGATTTATTACTTGGACGACACCTGGATAAATGCAGGACATACAAAACTTAAAGTATGTGCTGACTCTACTCGTACAATTAAATCAGCAAGACAAGCCTTCTTAAACGGACTAACCACTGGCCTGAAGAATCTGTCAGCTAGCCAATCCATCATTTGTGTTGTAAAAATGGTATCAAGTGGACTGAAGAATCTATGAGCCACCGCTGAAAACTAAGCTACACTAAACTTACCTGTATCTGGTAGATTTGGAACCAACACCTGTTAGATACTCTGCTTGTATTATTATTAATTTTCTTGAATACTATATGAAATAATCATTTCCAGGAAAAGGTTGACGACAATGCCGTCATTGCAGTTGATAATGCTTCATACGACACTAGAAAAAATTCCCACATTGTCCACAAGAAAGGCAGAAATTCAACGATGACTCCTATCAGAAGACATTAGTTTCAATGATAATATGGTCAAAGCAGAACTTATCCATCTAGTTAGGCAGCACAAATATAAACATAATCTTAATGTTATTGACGAAATGGCTAAAAACCAAAATAAGACCGCGAATTAAATCCCATTGAAATGATTTGGGCAAATATGAGAAACTATGTGGCTTCACACAATAGAAGACTCATATTTTCTGACCTGAAAAATATGCTTTATGAAGCTGTCAACAAACTGATGGCAAACCATTGGTAATAGTGCATCCGTCTCGTTCAAGAGAAAATCGAAACAAAAATGTGGGTTTTAAACAAAATGATCGATATTCAAACTGTAATAATTCATGTTGACCATTTGGACGAAGATTCAAGTACTTCCAGCGAAAAATTGTAAAGAGTATGGGCACTTCTTTCTATAAGAATAATAATCATTTATTTTGTTAGATTATTCCAAGACCATTGAGGAAAATACGCACCTGTAAAATCTCGCTTTTGGGCGTGTTGTGTTTTGTCTGGGCATAAATGGACTACGAATGGGGTATAGGAGTAACGTCAAACTAAATGGACGAATAAAAAATCAAGGGACGGACTAGGTACTTTCACTTTCTTGTTTTTTATCAAAATCAATTCCTATAAGGCTGACTATCTAACGGGTTGTGTGACTATTCAAAAACAGCCAGTAAGTGATGATAGTTAAATAGCAAAATAGATTGATTGTGCCTTTATAAATTTTTTAGTCAACATTTTTTGTTTACTCATTATCTGATTTCTAGCAGTTCGTGACACAAAACTCAAAATTGCAAGGCTTATCGACTTGGTTACATCAATATCTTGCAAAGTAATGTATAAAGTTGATCTGAAGATGTTTTGGGAGTTTGAAATTGCAGAGTCGGATCCATTTTTGAATTCCCTTGTATTTTATTAGGTGTAACTTTGAATTTGATATTATTTCGCTGAAAAGAGCAATAAATGATGCAAATAAAGCGGAAAATTAATGTTATGCACCCTATTTACCTTTCTGTAGTGTTTTAACGATTTAATTTTACCAACTGGTGGTGTACAATATCATGAGTTCTGCTTGAAAGGGAAACGGGATTAAATGTGCAGCAATTCCCCTTAATTTAACCAAATCAAAATTCACAAAACGTATGATTCAGGTCCGGTTTTGACATTTAATTGTGTGTGCATTATGCATATAAACCTATGGTAGGGTTGTGGTGCTAGGTATTAGGTTTTTATACAGTGTGATCATGATTTAATTTCACCTAAAGCAGTACTCATTTTTTTGTATAAAATAAGTTGGAAGAATTGATTATCAATATATAGTAGATATAATCATTGGCTTTATGCAAGGAGTTCAACGATGACCTCAAATTTGACCTTAAATCACACCTTTAAGTTTATTGCAAGGCTAACATTTAATTTTTCAAATCTTTTTGAAACCAGCAATCGAAAGAAAGGAAAACTTTACTTCTCAACATTTATTTAAATCTTGTAGGGTCGAATGAAGGTCATTTGTGAGGGTGTGCAAAACGCAGGACTATAAAAATTAACATCAGCTCATTAGAAACTTCTAACAATGATTGCGATATTTACTTTAGATTTGACCTTGGAGCCTCCTATTCAAGCATATTTCAAGGAAAACCTTTTTCTTTTTGACATCGGCAATCGAAAGAACGCAAAATCCCTCGGTCAAATATGTATTAAAATCTAAAATCAAGGTCACCTCTAAAAAGTTTTAAAAGGATTATTGACGGAAAAGTTAATCAAACTAAAGTAAGGTATTAAGTAACCTTTAACAAGGATTTCACATGTGACTGAATTTGACCATTAACGTCACCTTCAAGGGCACAGTCATGCTTCAAATCGAAGGCCCACTTTTGGCAAAGTTTGACCTTGATTTTTTCATCAATCACCATGCTGAGCTGATTATCTCTAGCCTCACACATTTGACCTTTACAGGTAACATTGATCTTAGACTATGATAAACAGTAACAAGACGGATGTGACTATAGAACGATGGGTCCCTGCGCAATATACTAGTACAATAAGGGGGTACCTTGATGAATCATTCTCTGAAGATGGATCGGCCTGCTAGGACCAATTTTGTGGGCCCCATGCTCCCCAGACTTGAAGATAAGGTCTATAGAAAACCAGTTCGATCGGCCGATGAACTTAGTCGTCGAATCCGTCAAGCAACACGCGAAATAAAAGGACAATATTTTAAGAGCCGGTGGTAGAAATAAAAAAAATACAACCTAATATTCTGCATACAACAATTAATAAAAAATGATACTGGATAGTTGTTTTAGATATTTGCTAAAATAAAATGCAATTACAGCAACTACAAAGTTGTAATTTGGACACAAAAGACAGGTGCATTTACTTTTTATTTCTATGATTAGGACTTCAATGAAACTTGGAATTATTCAGATCATTTGCAGATTCAGTCTGGTAGATTCTTTTTACAGTTTCAGACTTTAATAAACGTTTTCGCATTGAACTCAATGTAATAATTTCAGTTTTTTCTGGTATAGCGTGCTAGTCCTAAATGAAACGAATACTCGGTTTTCTCAACCAACTATTAGTGGTAGCCCAGGAAGTTCCTGATATCTATAACAGACAAAAAATGAGCAAAAAGTTGAAATTTTTGAAAAAACTTAAAAGTGGCAATATCTCGAAAACGATAAAAGTTTTACTAAGGTCATGTTGATTGGTCTGAAACCAATCTACCTCCCGTGTCACTCTGGCGTGCTATTTCTGGGACACCTTGTATATTTTTGTGCAATTGTAGCCTTTCTTCTGATGGTTGAGTAGAACAGCTTGAAGCAAGACTCTGCCATCTTCGTGGACTTTTTTATGGACTTTTCTTTATTATTTTGAACACTAGTAATTTTAGTTTCTCTTTATTAATGGTAGAGTGCCCATTCCTAGGCCAAACCCTTTTCAATGATTTCATGGTTTATTGATTGTATAATTTCACACATATTATATATTTCTTCCTCATAAAATATCGTTGATTCCTCGTTGTTGGTTTTCTAGGGTTCACGCATTGGCAATCAGCAAAACTTTCTGGTTTTTCTCCGTTATTTGATTTCCTATCGATGATATCTTGTTTAAGGTCACTCATTGCACCTTCCTTTGTGAAGTTAGGTGTTTCGTGTCGGCCACTTTCCTCCTGAGATAGTGGTGTGGGTGCCATTTATTTAACCTCCAGAGTCTGGGATATTAAGTGCCAAACACCAGTTTGTGGAATATCTTGCGTTAGTTGTTCTGGTTTAGGTACTACTCCGTCCATTTTCTTATGGGCTGGGCTTTTAATCATCAGCGGTAAGTTTTTCCTTATACCATCAGACCATGTGCATTAATGCATGTCATGAAGAATTTTATTCAATATTTCCTTCCTTTTAGTGCGAGACATCACGGAGAATCACCAAACACTCCTCCAGCTTTGTTTGTAGGTGTTTTGCAGCTGGTATTGCCGGAAGCCACACCTTCCCCTTAGCAAAAAAAAAACTCTGATATGCACAGGTAAAATAACATTTTAATTAACCATTTCATCGATATTACTCGTATTTATACAGTGCTCTTCTTTAATGCCCCCTACCCTTTTATTTTTTGAACGGATCAACTCAAAAAATTAAAACTTGAGGTAATGAAATTGATGCGTGGATACCATATTTTAGAGTAAAATTGACAGATGAAAATGTCAAGATAGCCGCTGGGCGCCATCTTGGAAAAAAAAAGTTATATGAAAACGGGGATCTTGTGGCACATCATTTTGAACCTCCTGACGAGTACTTCATAACCCTAGAATATAAAGTAAATGCCTTGACCTACTACAAAATGGTGGTACATTTAATAATTACCTGAACACAAACCCACCAACATGCATATCTACACCAATAATTGTAATTCCCTGCGGTATCCACAGGAACAGCGATAAAAACTTGTTTTATTATTTTTTGTTGACAGTGGCAAAGATATCAGTGCGAAAACAAACATAATTGTACAGTTAAAATATTCTTATTTAGCTTTCGGTTTTAGTGCTATTTTTAAAATGGTCAATTCTCGTCCATTGGAGGAAAAAATCGAAGCGATTTTTATTTATGGTGCGACGCGTAACTTTCACGAGACCGAAGGGATTTTTAATGATCGTTTCCTGAATCGTCCTATCGGTAGGAAATATTTAATTATTTTCTTTAGTGTGGGTGGACAAGCAAAGCAAGTTCCGATTAACACCTCGGGACTTTGTGGCTTAATCCGTCTTAAGTCACTGGGGCTCCTAACCGCCCCCCCCCCTCCTACTATCTGCTTTATTGAGCTAGGGTCTAAATTTGCACGCCACTAGACAGCTGTTTTGCATTGGCCGACCCTTAGAATTCATTCATAGTGATTTATTGATTAGTTCATTAATTAATTTCAAAAGAAGAGGGAAGAGGAATCACACCACAATTTCCTCTTGTTAAAAAAAGGCGTGGCAGTGTTGATCGCACCACGTGACAGTATATTGGAAATTATGACTGTTTCAGACGGAAATAATCACGAAGAGCGACAATACGCCTATTCCAATTATCTACCAGGGAAAATCCGAGAAATCAAACCGAACTTCGTAGAACTATTGAGGTTTGATTCGAAGAACCGCTTGAGTTATCAAAATGCATCAGACGCATGCACGTTGTTCTGACATGCTTCGAGCAAGTGCGGTGAGCGGCAAAGCGGCAGCGTGAGATCCGCCGAACGGAGCTGAGCAAAGTTAATCATAACGGCGCCGCATCAGAAATAATATCGAATGTTATTAAAGTTACGGGAAACGGGAAACGTGTTACGCCTTGGAATCGTAAATTGGATTGCATTTTACCATCCAGGAAATAACTAGCTGCTCATTTGCCTCAGTCGCTACTTAGTCTCCTTCTCGAATCTCTATATGTGTCTCGTTTCCTTCCTTCTGCGTTAGAGTTGTGGCGGTTGCATAACGGGTCGCCAAATTGGATGGAGATTCTCTTGCTTCATAACAGATTTTAAAAGCAAGTATTTCTTGCGTAGTATTTTGTGTCATGCGTATACTGGCATGTCTTCCGTCAAAGTGCGACGCCGTTACAATCAACACACAGGGTGCGACAATAAAGCCCATTGCATGAATCAGGGAAGGAGATAGGTTAATAAGGGCCACTCTTCGCCCATAACACACTCAAAAATAAAAGGTTCGACTCCAGCCTATTATTGAATTTATTTGTGAACTTCAAGACGTGGATTTTTTCATTATATAATATTTACGGTATAAATAATTTAATATCCTCCACGTTTTCCCACCGAAGCGTTCCATGAACCACTTTAACTTTAATGCTGGGTGAGTCTACTTATTATAGGCTTGTATATGAATATTTACTTGTTTTGGTTCAGTGAGCGCATCAATCCAAAGATACGTAATATGTTGTTAGAAACACGGATAGTCAAACCCTAATTTTCCACCAATCAGCTTGTATTAACAATAATAATAATAGCACAATGATTTGACGAAATTCCGGAGCGGTAGATTATCCGAGCACGATGTGCACTGCTCGCTTTGCCAGAGTCGGCGGCCGATCGTCGTTCCCTCAGCTACCACAGAGCAGCAACTACACAGCAGTACCCCTTCGTGGTTGATTTTTCGGGTTCGAAAAGTATTTACGTATTAAAGGCATAGAAACTGTGCTGTGCTGTCGCGTTAAATGTTTATTGAAAAACTTGATAAAACAATGATGCCTGGATACCAGTATGATTGTTGTAAAACGTGGCGAAAAACAAACAGTGAAACCCACTGAGTATAATGATCTCAGACCTATCAGTTTATTACCAATTTTATCCAAAATTTTAGAAAAAATTATAAAGTTCCAATTGACCGCTTACCTAGAAAAATTATTTATACTTCCCGACACTCAATCCGGATTTAGAAAAAATTATAGTACAACATCTGCTCTACTTAATCTGCAAGACAATATTTTAAGTGCCTTAGATAAGAAAATGGCACTAGCCTTAATCTCTATAGACTATTCGAAAGCCTTTGACAGCATCAATCATAAATTATTACTTGCTAAATTAAATTACATAGGTCTGGACAGTGTATCCCTTTCATTTTTCGACAATTACCTTCATCAAAGAACTCAGTGTGTTTTTCTCAATCAAGAAATGTCTCAAGTGACAATAATTCCCTCAGGCGTACCTCAGGACTCTGTATTGGGGCCGCTTCTGTTCCTCATATATACGTTCGACTTAAGCAAATGTATTGATAATTCCCATGTCGTCATTTGCAGACGCAATTGCTTCCTTATTTTAACCCAGATAATGTTAATAATACTACTCAAATTTTACAAAACGATGTTAATAAATTAATTAAATGCTCTTTAGATCACAATCTACTTATTAATCCACAAAAATCTAAAATGTTATTATTTTGCGCACAAAGAAAAACATACAATGTAACACAGCTCTTGAACATTCAGATAAATAACCAAATTTTGCAATTTTCTGATTCTGCAAAAATTCTTGGTGTTGTTTTTGATACAAAATTAAGGTTTATTGAACATGTTAAAAGTCTATCTCAGAAAACCTAACTACGGCTGCGCACTCTTATAGCAAACAGGTATTTACTAAATTTTAAGTTGCGTAAAAAACTATGTGAAGCATTGGTCATACCTATACTAAACTATTGTAATATCGTATACTATACTTGTTTAGACAATTTCACTAAAAACGTTATTCAAGTTATTCAAAATAATTGTATACGATTCATTTTTGGCTTACGTAAATTTGATCATGTATCAGCGAAACATCTCGTTCTAAACTGGTTAAAAATTAATGACATGGTCAAGTATCACTATTCAGTTTTTTTTTCACAAATTGCTGCTTACGTCTAAACCTTATTACTTGAAGGAAAAAATTTCATTTAATAATGATGTTCACTGTAGAACTCTCAGAGAAAATAATATTAGAATACCCCTGCATACGTCTACACTTTTTAAACGTTTTTCTTACAATGTTGCTATTATTTATAATGACCTTCCTAAAGTATGTAAAGAATTTTCATTACCTGTCTTTCGACAAAAAGTTAAAACATTATTACTCAACCCTCCAAACATATCATTTACGTAATCATTCATTTCTTTTTTATTCCATCTTTAATTCAGATTAATAAATTTTTGTTGCATTTGGGTTTGGAAAGTATGCCTTTTTCTCTTTTTTTTTAAATTTTACTTTCGATGTAATGAACCAAATCTGTTTGTGGATAGTGTATTCTTTTGAATATCTGCTAGAGACTATATGGTTAAGTGTAAGAGTAGCAGCATGCTAAACTTCGCCATGTAAGTCTGACATTTGGCTATACTACAATGTAATTGTGGATAAATAAAGACGTCTATTATTATTATTATTATTTCCGAAGCTGCTAAAACAAAAACATTATAGCCATACTTAGAAAATCTAGAAACTGTGATCTGCAGATTGGTACTAAGTTGTTTCCGAAATGCAGATCATATGCATTCCGCGTGGCTCAATCTCAAAAGACTCCAACTTCATCTTCTGTAAAGACAACAAGAGTTCTTACTTCAACGACTACCTCTGATGATACTGAAGGATGGTCTGATAGCGATTCGAATGAAGAAGACAAGGAAGAAAATTAGTAAAAAATATATCAAGGGCCGATTTCATCAACACTGAGTCAGTTGGACTAACAGGAAAAGGCCTTATCGAGATGCAATTTGACGGAAGCTGTCAAAGCTCTCTGAATATCAGTGACTTCTATAGAAATGTCGTGAAAAAACGGTTGCCATATAAATAAGATGTAATATTATGTCTTTGTGCTTTAGAATTAGGATAACTTTCATAGAATTTCAAATATTTATCATTTCAGAAAAGACGGTCAGTTATTAAAATGGACCAATCAAAATGAGAGAAATAATAGGTCGATTTTCTAGCTATTATATTTAGTACGATGCTTTCACTGTTTTTGACGACTGTTCATTCATGGCAATCTAGTTTTGTCTGAATATCACATACAGGGTGTTGAACCTAATGCGCACCTGTAGAAATTTACCGATTTTTGTTTAGCAAAAAAAAAAAGGATTTAAAACGTATTCCAAAGCGAAGTACCGGATACTGCAGCTGTCCGCTGGGATGGCGAATTGCTGCCACCTTCAAATATACGCAAGTCTAAAGAAGAACGTCTACCGACTGTTATAACGTATGAAAATAAAGAGCAACTTATCGCTGTGTCCAAACTGGATAACTCTTCAGTCAGCGAGCAGGTTCTGGCCGTATGGGATACTATACTAAGTGACATATACGTACACCCAGTTTAAATGGTTTGATTTCAATAAAATTTTGTATAAGTACTTAATGAAGCATAATAAGTAAATGATAAAAATTTCAAAATGATTGCACTGCTTTAAAGCCCTTTCACCTTTAATAATGTGTGGATGCACCCTGATGTGCTACGCATTCTCCAACGCACCTAGGCATGCTTCTGATCAAGTGGTCAATGTCCTCCTGTGGTATCTCATTCCAGGCAACCACCAACTCCTCTCGAAGTGCTTCTAGAGTCTGAGGAGGACGTTGCAAATTGAGCAATCTCCTACCCATCATATCCCACACGTGCTCAATTGGGGATAAGTCGGGAGATCTTGGTGGCCATGGTAACAATGTGACATCATTATGTTGAAAGAAGTCTATTGTGACTCTTGCAACATGTGGTCGGGCATTATCTTGTTGGAAAGTTGGATCTGCCGGGGTGTCAAGATAGGGTAAAAGATGGGGTTCTAGAACTTCGTGGATATAACGCTGCGCGTTCATGTTACCTCTGATGAAGATTAAAGATGACCTGGAACCATAAGCTGTAGCACCCCAAACCATAACTCCAACAGTGTGATGAACATGTCTTTCAACAAAAAACTGTGGATTCCTCCTTTCACCACGTCGCCTTCTAACCCTGGCACGACCATCGTGCATGCCTAAACAAAATCGAGACTCATCACCAAAGACAATACTGATCCATTCCTGATCCCAGAGTGACCGTTGTCTTCACCACTCAAGGCGATTACGTCGGTGTTCTCGAGTTAAAGGGAGGACCCAGTGTGGCCGGTATGAAAACAAGCCAAAACTTCTCATCCGTCGGTAAACACTTCGCATGCCAATAGGTCTTCCGTGTTCTGCAAACCATTCATTTGCAATGGACCTGGTAGTGGAGAAACGGTCCCTTAAGGCCAGTAATCTTAGGCGGCGATCTTCACGGTCTGTTGTTCTACGGCGGCGTCCAGTGCCCCTTGCTCTTTGCGTACGGCCTTCTAGAAGCCATGCCTGACAACACCTGTCTACACTTCTTTGCACTCTAACTGCAATTGCCCGAAAAGAAAGTCCAGCTTCAAGAAGTCCCACTATACGGCCCCTATCACACTCACTAAGTTGACGAAATCGTACAGGTCTCCGTACTCTAGGCATCGTATCCGATCATAAAGGATGTCAAGAACCAAAATCCGCCAACGTTGATTCTTTACTGCGGCTGAAATATTCATTTTTAGAGCGTTAGTGAATTAAAAAAAAGCAGAATAAAAACCAGAATGTCCAACTGATAAGGCTGAAAAATTTTTCACTTGTTATTTACAGTAAGATAAATACATTCACCAACTTTTATTAAAATAAAACCATTTAAACTGGGTGTTCGGATTTATATGTCACTTAGTATATACGGTCAACAGATTTGATCTTATACGAAGCATGATTTTTTTAATGATGCTATAAAAATTCCTATATTATATATAATCATATTTTCCATAAAACTTTCTGATTATCAATGTTATGGAAATGTGATTAGATATTCCTGTATTATGAGTTTTTATGAAAAATCAGGTTACACTAGTGACCTTGCTGTCTTTAACTATACATTTTATTTCCCTTTGAAAAGAATTTGTTTTCATCAGTAGCTCTTACAATTTTTCCACGTAGATGCTGCAGAAGACCATTACCAGGAATGAAAATATTTGGAACAGAAATATTATTGATATCTTCATACAATATAAGATTTGGATAAAAATGTACTAATAACACGTAACGATCTTATCACTATT